TTCAGTTGAGAGTGTGACTGTCATGGCAGGTTTAAAGCTAGAACACCATTAACACCTTAAATAGACACCATACTGAATATAATGCGGATGATTTCAATGCTGAGGGATAGACATACAGTCTTTACAGTGGCACATACTGTATAAAAGTCCTAGATCCCATAATGTTCAAACTGTTTTATAACAGCAGAAAGACGTTTCATCAGCTGAACAATTGGCATGTTATTGAATGCACTGTACTGCTATCCCTCATAGTCTCGTTTTCATTCCTGTCTGAAAAAATAACAACAAATGGATTTGGAACGACATAAGGATGAGTAAATAACAATGATATTTTAATATAATGTATATACTATTAGTATTTATTCATATTTTGAAGGTCTTGTATTTTCAGTTTTCATAAAAACTTTAGGTTAGGTTAGCTTTTGTCATTTTTATTAGTTTTTTTTATATTTCTATCTAGCTTATTTATTTTCATTTCAGTTTTAGTTTTAGTACATCAACTAAAACGAATGTTATTTCAGTTATTGCCAGTTTTTCATTTAATATTTATATTTTATTTAATTTCTGCTTTATTTCAATTACTGAAATCATTTTTAGTTTTAGTTAACATTAACAGCATAAATAATGTCAAGGAAATAATGACAAAAATTTTGTTTTGGTCTGAAAGTGTTCAGTAATTCAGCTTATTTCACTGAATTTAATTCAAATAATGGAACTGAATCATATTGAATCGAATACTCTTACACACTTTCTAATCCAGCACTTTTCAGTCGGGATGATCAGTGCCATATATTACCGTCCAGTGGAAAATGTCATCTTCGCCGGATGTCATTGGTATTCAGATGTCTCTGTGAACATGCTCTTTTCCATAAGGCAAGCGCTCGAGGACAGAGCCTGAGTCCAGACTGAGGGACAAAGATCAGGCTGATTAATAAGTACAGCAGTGCTAAACCTTCTTCATGCCAGAGAGCGATGAGTCACTGAGCCTCTGCCGTTGTCTTTCTCCCCTTTTTATTCTACTCTATTAATCTCTTGTTTTGGGTCTGTAGTTTCTCTCACGCTCTCTCCCCTCTCGTTTCCTCACTCTTCATCACTTTAGCTCTGGCCTGCCTTTCTCTGCCCCTCATTTTCAGTCCTTGTCTAATCTTTTTTCCCCCTATGGTCCTCCAACTCTTTCTCCAGCCCCCCGCCTTCCCCTGTCGCCCACGCTCTGTGCAGCTGCCGAGTACCTCAGTAATGCAGTTCATTACTGTCTATTACTGTGACTCACAGCTTGACTGCACAGTCACAGGTGTGTTTCCCTACGGACGGCAGCGATCGCGCCCAGCCGCCGGCATCCAGCCCCCCACGTCTCACAGAGATGATAGTAGCTCAGATTACAGCCATCGATCAATGTATACAGTCGCTTGTGAGCGCATTCACGTGTGTGATGTCATAGCATCTCAGAAGCTGAACTCTGCGTCAATACTATGGCTTTTACGTGACGTGTTCTGCTGTATTCTATCGACATGCTTGGTACGAGCTTAACAAAGGATTATGGTTAATTGTAAGTCTAATTAGATCTTCTTCTCTAACACGCCAATGTTGATATATGAGCAAACCCCTCTGTAATTTGTCATGAAGAAAAGTAACCTATTAATGGCTTGCATATAGTTGTATAAACTGGGATAGAAGTAAGTATTTAAAACTGACATACTTTAGTTTCCATGACTGAAAGAACATGGGAGGCTTTTGGTCATTAATGCATCATGAAGACTAGGAAAGATTTAAAACGGCATGATTTATGTGGTAATATGTCCTAATCTGTTGCTTATTAAATCCCCATGTGGTTTGTCAGATGCTGTTTTCAGTGCTGTTCTTATTGAGTGGAGGTTGTTACAGTTGAATCAGATGAGGACTTTTAATGTATCTGTGATGGGATACTGATTTCCTGTATGTATTGTTTGAGTGCTTTCTTCAGTTGAATGCGCAAAGCATCCTACCAATATGAGATGGTAGAATCTATTCGGATGTTTCTTCAACTTTGTGGTTGGTTTGTTATACTGTATATAGGCCTACTCTATCGTTCAAAAGTTTGGGGTCGGTAAGTCAAAAATACAGTGATTTAAAATAACTATTTTCAATTTTAGTATATTTTAACATGTAATTTATTTCTGTGATGGCAAAGCTGAATTGTCAGCATCATTACTCCAGTCTTTATTATGATCCTTCAAAAATCATTCTAATATGCAGATTTAGTGATCAAGATACAATCCAAAAGCAACTTGCAAATCTTGACAATAGAAGTAATCAAACAAACAAAAGAGCAACAATATAGTGTGCTATGTGTGCCATAATGCTGTGACATGTCGCAGTTAGTTGCAGTACATGTAGCATGTTTTTTTTTTCTTTTTTTTAAATAATAAATAAAAATAATAAAAGGTAGATGGAATAGAAATAGAATAGAGAGAGCTAGTGCTATAGGGTCAAGTTATTATTATTTATATATTAATAAATTGAATAGAAATAGAATAGAGAGTGTTATTGTTAGAAAGTCAAGTTTTTTCAGTCAATATTTTTAATCTCGTATTTTTGGGGTTCTTTAATGAAGAAAAAAGTTTAAAATAAAAGCATTTATTTGAAATAGAATTTTTTGTAACAATAAATATAACTTTAGACATGTCCTCAGAATCTGCTAGCATAAAAATTTCCTCAGCACAAGTTTCTACCAATAATGCAACCACTCCTGAGTATGCTTTCTTACAAAATCATCCAATTTGGGCTAAAGACAAGGATGATTGCGGGTTTTTGACAGGCGTGGAACCAGTCAAATTGACAGGAACTCCACCTCCTGTTACCAAACTATATCCGATCAATAAGGAAGCTATACAGGGAATCAAACCTATTGTAGAAATTCACGATTGTGTTACGCTCACATACGCAGCTACGAGTGAAATAGCAGAAACTCCCATAGAGAATGCAGAATTTGAGTTGTTTGTTGATGGTTCAGCTCAAGTCATTGAGGGTAACAGACGAGCAGGTTATGCAGTAACTTCCACAACTGAAGTTGTAGCTTCAGGCCGTCTTCCAGATCATTTTTCAGCTCAAGCTGCAGAACTAGTAGCCTTAACTAGAGCATGCACGCTAGCTTCAGGATCAGTTGCAAATATCTTTTGGGGGCCAATCCTGGGTGAAGAATCCCTCATAGACCTTCCCCACCCACTAGTCCATCCTTACCTCACGGTTCTTTAGGTGTCGCAGGAATCAAGAAATAGGGAAAGAAGGATCTATGTATCCCTCCCCCTTGAAAGGTATAAACTCTACTGTGCTGAGCTATAGTCAGACTTGGATGACTGCAGCGACGCTCGAGTCCTCAATAAAGAGTGACTTCTGTATGAAACATATCCCAACGTCTCCTGGTCTCTGCTTCGACGAGGAAAAAGTTTCCAACACTATGAAATTACCATTAGGAAGACAAAAGCAGTTGGGCATTTTTTGGAGCCGGACACTAGTAGTGTGAAAAGTGTGTTTTATGAATTTATTTATGTATGTATGCATTATTATTGCCTGATAATGTTGTATGCATTCAAACGTGTGCTTCGAGCTTGAGACCAGTAGCTTGTGGGTGTATGGGTGCATGCAGGAAGGCGTTCAAACCAGCAGGCACAGAGAGATTATGTAAATACATCTTCAGGAGCGTTCAGCTCGTTTCTCAACTGCACAGGGCTTTGCCTGCACGTTTGTTACTCAATGGAAGATGGATCTGAGAAACATGGGAAGTGCCATTTCTTTTAGTGCTTCTCAGGGCATTACTGTTCAAATCAGAACTGCTTTTGGGAGCAGACAATTATCGTGCTGGCTTCTCAAGGGGGAAGCACTCAGCAGCCACTTAGATGATTCATCTTCTTCTATGCTCTGAAATTAGAGGTGTAGATTGGCAACATATTTGCAGCTTGTTGATCATGTCTGCACAACTTCAAAAAAAAAAAAAGGTTGTAAACTCACACTGAAAACCAATGGCAAAGTGGTTGATTCGCACTATATGCCCAAGGGCCCTGCTGTTTGGGAGGCCCCTGGATGTCGACTACAGTAGACCAATGCAATCCCCATTTTCCCTTCATGAATGTGCATTTTAGCTGTCTAAATGTATCAAACAGGCTCTTAAAAGGAAAAACCTGAAGCCGCTGCCCCCGGTGGCACAAGCCAAGCAATAAAAGTGCTATTACCGCCATAAACATCTGATTGCTTTCACAAATGCAGTCGATTATGTGGCAGCAAAAGGATCTCGATTCTGCTGAGATATTGATAGCATCAATCATGCGGCGAGTCGACAGGTAGACTTTACTCAGCTGTCACGACAAATGCAAATCTCATAACTGGCCTTTCATTGCAATCATGTAAAAAATGATCTTGATTTCATTTGCCAAGCAAGTTTCCTCATACATCTTGATTTATGTTGTTCTTAGCATAAATTGAGCACTTGGCTAAGTGTCAAGAAAGATGGACGAACATATTAGTCGTCCTTTTACGCCAATATGAACATCCGCTCCATCCTTCATCGGTGAGATTAGGGGATTGGGGAAATGTTGCCGTTGTTTATTTGTTTTTGAAGTGAGCGCACAGTGCTTGAAGGGACTGAATCCCAGCAGAAGCAGGAGCGGTAACAGGTAGCTCACCCTGACTCTGAATTACTGAAATATTTAGCTGTGCTTTAGGAACCAGCAGTAAATCTCGTTCTCAGTTGCAATTGCACTCCCTTCGTGGCTATTTACCTCACAAAAATTGAATGAGGAGTATGAGGCAGAACACAATTACTTCTGCAATAAGATTTTCCCTTGCATCGTGCAAGTTCATCGATAGCAAAGCCTCCTGGGAAAGAAATAGAATTGAAAATTTGACATGTGAGAACAAATGGCTGTTATTAAAGGAATTCATAAAGCTGTTGGAAATAATAAGATGCTAATTGCTTAAGTTTATTCAGTGTTTTGTTTGATCTTTGCTTATCAACTATGTTCCTGCAGGCTCCATTGAGGCTTGCTTAAGCCACCTGTTGAAGCGAAGAGCAGCGGGATTTCTCCGCAGCGATAAGATCGCCGCCCTCTTCACCAAGATCGGCAAGGTGAACACCACAGCGAGTGAGATCTGCCGCAAAGTTCAAGAACAGCTACAGCAGCAGGCCGAAATCACCAGGTCTGACTTTTTATTGCGCACAAATAATGTGCATTATTTCCTTGAAGTTATTATTATTATTATTTTTAATTTAGTAAACTTCACTTGTGAAATTACTTTCTTTTCAGCTGACACCACCTAGGCCATGTGGGCTATTGGCTAATCTTAGCCAAAAGCCATGTAGCTTTTGTTTTTGTCTGCTTTAGTTGATAATGTAGCCTTTCTGAAATCTGTAATTTTAGTTTACAGATTTACAACTTACGAAGTTGACGGAAATAATGTTGCAAATAACAAAAGATTTGAAAAAGAAGCCTTCATAATCAAAGGTAGACTGACGTTTAGGTTGAAACACCTTCACAATCCAATCAATTCTCGATAGGTCCCATCCTACTTTTTTTTCTCATTCAATATCTTGTTTTATTCTGAAAATCTTTAATTTACGAAAAAAAGAATGCAATTTTCTGTTAAATTTAAAAGTAGTATTTTTGCGCCACTAAAGGCTTGTTCACACCAAGATCTTTAATGATAACTATATTAGCGTTCACACCAGTGGACAATAATGTTCTGTTTATTATAATCACACGCTGCAGTTTGATTATCATTTTAAATGCTTGAGCTCTTTACAGTCGGGTGGACTCTGATGCTGTTTCACTCTGAAATATGTCAATATACGGAAAAAAAACAGATTGCAAATGGCATTTTATGTTGAATTTAAAAGTAGTATTTTTGAACTACTAAAGGTCTGTTTTCACCAAGAACTACTGTAAAATTATAAAGATAACTAAAATGATAACTAGTGTTCACACTAATGGACGATAACGTTATGTTTATTATAATCACGCTCTGTTGTACTGCCCCTTTAAATCCTTGAGCGCTTTAAAGTCATGTGGAATCTGATTGGGTCTTAATGTTTTTATTATTCATCAACTAAAAAAATAGTTCTAAAAGTGATTCCAATGACATAATAGTTATAGCTGAGGTTTTGCTATACTATTAGAATTAGAATGAATTTGAAACACCTTCACAATCCAATCAGTTCTCGATAAGGTCCCATCTTACTTTTTTCCTCATTCAATATCGTGTTTTACTCTGAAATATCTTAATTTATGAAAAAAAAGAATGCCATGTTTTGATAAATTTAAAAGTAGTATTTTTGCGCCACTAAAGGCTAGTTCACACCAAGAACTAAAACTATTAATAGTTTATATTAATAGATCTATAATGATAACTATGTTAAAGCTAACACCGGTGGACGGTAGGGCTGGGCGATTTTTTCAGATTTTATCAATTAATTCGAATTTATTGTTTTGCCACGATTTAATTTTTTTAGAAATCGAGGAATTGCGATTTTGAATAGAAATATTACCAAATGTTAGAATTAGACACTTTGACAATATGCCGGTGATAACAGTAAAGAGAAAAGAACGATCCAACCGCATGTCAGCGCATGTGATTAACCACTCACGTGTGATGCGCTCTGTGAAGGACCATTAATATAGCGCTAAGCGTCATTCACACAGAATGCGCATTTGTGTTGACAAAGATGCGACGCGGGCAGTGGAATAGGTAAAACATGCAAGAAGATGGGAGTGAACTTCTTTTAACTTGAGCGCAGTGTTTTTAGAATGGCGTTTCATACGAGACACTGCAAGAGGCGCGAGCGCAACAGTCAAACACATCCATGTTTACACAGAAAAAACAATGGAAAAACAGCGCAATCGAATAAAAAACCTGTAAAGAACTACTACTGTATGTCTGATATTTCATGTTTGCATCATGGTGACAGGCTGAAAGCTGCTGTTGTTTTTATAGAACATTTATAGTTAATAGTCTACTGGTGTTATATCTTCAGTCATTTTGAATTCGTATTATATCTGAACATATAATATGTTTAAGACAAGCAAGATGTAGTTGTAGTTCATGCATCTTTTCTGAAAAGATACTTAAGTGATTTGTTTAACATTTGCATCATGTTGACAATTTCATTTGTGGTGCACTTGGAATAGAATTTTCTTAAAATAGAGGGTTAATAAAGAAACGCATAATTTTAATCATGTTGTAGTTACATTTTTAAGTTGACTAGTTAAAAATCGTAAAGAAATCGAGAATCGGTCAAACGTTCTGAAAAAAATCGAGATTTTAATTTTTTGACAAATCGCCCAGCCCTAACACAAACACTCTCACTTACACACGCACCACTCCCTCCCCCGGAGGAGGGCCAGGTGGAGAATCTTTTGTTTCATTTTTTCCCGCCGTTGGCCTCACAGCCGACGGTACCCAAATTCTCGACAAAAGAGGATTTTCCTTTATCTCTGGGTCCCAGGAGGGCACGGAGAGTTGCGGACGGACTAACGCCGGACCTCGCTCATCCTCCTCCTTTGCCAGCCGGCAGCAGCGGGCGGTTCGAGAGCGTCAACAAAGGCCCTACTCACGCACCCTCTGCCAACCCGTGGAACCAGGTGAG